CTAATACAACTTTTTAATCCCCCAACACAAACATGTATTTGATTTTAAATAATTATGAGTTATCTGTAAGGGACACTAAAAGACACTGGTATTTAATTAGAGAATGAAGATTTTCTGGGTTTTCTCAGATGGTTCTAATCACTTCTTAGTTTTATTCTTTTTTAAAAATGCCATTTATTAATGGTACAGTGCTACAGTTTGGAACTTAAATGTCTTCTAAAGGCTCATGTGTTAAAGACCTGTTCTCTATTGTGGTACTACTGGGAGATGCTAAAAGCTTTAAAAAGGTGGGGCCTAGTAGAAGTGTTCAAGTCATAGGAGTGGTCCTAAAAGGGGACTATGGAACCCTTTTCTCTTTCACACTCCAGCCATGAGAGGCATGGTTTTGCTTCACCATAAATCCTGTGCTGCCACAGGACCAAAACAATGGGGCCAACTGACCATGGTTTAAAATCTCTGAAACCATCGGCCAAAATAAACATTTTCTCTTTTAAGTTGATTACTTCAAATATTTGTTTTAGTAACAGAAATTATTAACACAAACAGGTTATGTTTAAATATCATACTTTGCCAAAATTTTTAAGAATGACTGCAAAGAAATGTTCAAGACACTATTAAAGGAAAAAAGTAAATAATGAATGACATGTTATAACAGAATGTCAATATATTAAACCATTAGGCAATATTGATTATATTAGGAGGCTTTTCAATGTCTACGTTAAAGTATTTCTATAATACTTATATCTTCAACTTTTATGAAGACCTTTTTTTTTCCTGAGAGAAAAAACAAAGATATTTAAATATCAAACTATTTTATACACTTAAACTTATAAAATACAAAAATATCTAATATAAAACCACTAATTCCAGATTTTTTTAGTTTAGGAAATATAATCATTCCAGATATAAAATATGGAACGTATGAAAAATTTAAGTGAAGCAGAAACAAATACTGAACAAGGTATTCCTGGTACCTGAGTGATCTTCAATAGGTCATTCAACCTCTTTGAGCCTTAGCATTCTATTGAGTAAAAGGCAGCTTCCAAGTTCATGGTATTGATATGATATAAACTTAAGTAATTCATATTTTTTATGTAGAAATGCTTTGCAAAGTATAAAGAACTCACTAAACATAAATTTTAGTTTGAATGTAGGGGCTGAAATCTCTTAAAAAAGGAATAAATGAAAGCAGTAAAAAACATTTTGTGTTTATACAAAAAACGATTCCTACACCAGGAAGAGCTTAATTGGGGGCATAATCATCTTTGAATTTAAAAAAGAAAATTGGAAGGCTGGGGGTGTAGGTCAGTGGTAGAGCACATGCTTAGCTTGCACTGGGCCTTCGGTTCAAAGCCCAGTACCAAAAAGGTAAATACATAAACAAACAAATAAATAAAAATAAAAACTGGGGTATACAGATATGAGCTAGAAATTAAAAAGAAAAAGAAGAGGGGCTGGGGTTGTGGCTCAGCGGTAGAGTGCTTGTCTCGAACGCACGGAACCCCGGGTTCAATCCTCAGCACCACATAAAAAAATAAATGAGTGAAATAAAGATATTGTGAATAAATATTTTTAAAAAAAGAAAGGCTTCAAAGACAAACTACCAAAGGCCCAATAATAAGGATAGACAGGAGACAGCACAGTTTATAAAAAAATCAAAGCATAACAGATGGAGCCTAACATTGTGCTCTGAGATCTGGAAGAGCTCCTCACAAGCTCCTCACAGGAGCTCTGAGATCTGGCAGCTCCTATCAAGAAAAAAAAAAAAAAAATGGAAGCCACAAAGGGAGGAAATAGGACAAGAGCAACAAAGCTGATTATAGTGACAACTAGGGACACAAGCAGGGGAGGGTGTTGGGAGAGAGGAAGAAACAGGAAGAAGAAGAGTAAGTAAGGCCTTAGTTGATCAGAAAATATTTAAGTTTCTAGAAAATCAATTCTATTCCTCACAGTGACAGATCCTGAATCAGATGTTTTGACACTTTGGGTCTCAGTTTTCCTCATCTGTAAAATGTGGATAACTCTCCAGAGTACTAATAACAAATTTTTAAATATTAATAGATAACCTGTTCCTAATAGTGTCCTGCTGCTGCAGGTTTTCAATATATTGTGGCTATTAAGATCCCATGAATTCCTCCCATCCCAAAGCACAAGCACACCTACTGTTGGGGCTAAGTTCAGGTTGTATGAGCAACCAAGAGTGGGGTTTTAGAAGAGTGTTTAACATTCTATTCTGCACACAGGACACTTCAGCAAAGGAGGATTAAGGGTTCTGCCTAAAGACACAGAAAATTCCTGTTACAGAATTAAAAGCAAATATCTGGAGCTGGAGGTATAGTTCAAAGGTGGATTGTGTACATTGTGTACATCCCATACACAAGGCCCTGGGTTTAGTCCCAGCGTGCATGCACACACAACATACACATCTCTACCCTTAGTAGAGCTCTTTTTCCTGCATCACAAGTAGAGGGTCTGAGCAGGTCATGAGCAGTTGGGAGGCTCATGGCTAGTTAAAGCATAACTGGAGGGACCATGAGATCTTAGCAGTGGTCTTACTTATAAAGTATCATAGAAGCACAAGAGATAACAGCAAACCATTCTCAGGAAAATAGGGAGGATTAGAATAGTTAAAATACCCTGGGTGAATGCAGATGAATGAAATTTGAAGAGCTTCGTTTTGAGAAAATATTTGGGACTTTTAAGTAGAGTTACAAACAGGTACATGTCAAGAGTTTGTGATTTATGCAAAGCTACTGTAAGAACAGAACTTGTCCTTAGCAAGTTCCGAAGAATAAAAGATAGCCATTTTGCTTAAGAGTCCTTACTGGCACCAGGCTATGCTATAAACTCCTGAGGTTAATAACAGTTTATCTATTTTCAGTCTCCAAAGTGTAAAGCATACAGAGCACATTTAACTAATTCTGGTTAATAAAACTGAATTAGAAATTTTAAAATGATACAGCATGGAGGTTAAGGGCTCCCAAAGCATGACAGTCAAAGTTGGAATTCCTGCTTCTACCACAGGCCAGCAATGCCAAACTTTTAATAAATAATTGCACTTTCCTGTGTTTCAGATTCTTCATCTGTAGAATAGAGATTATAATGGTGTGAGAATTAAATGAATATGAAGACAGCAATCAGATACTGTGAGGTATGTGGTATTAATAAAAATTTGCTGCAATTGTGAACTATTATTCAAAATGGGACTGTTATTACTGAATTGAGAAAAACCTTTAAAATAGTTATCCAAGTTCCAGAGAACAAGTAATTTGTGAAGGATCATGTATCAGGTAAGGGTTACCTCCCCACAGTTTCTGCAGAAAACCCTTATGTGTGTAATTCCTGGAGAACAGCGGAGCCCTAATGTCCCCTCCTCCTTATAGAAAAAGGAGTGCAAGGCATCCTCTGGTAGCTAAAAGTCCAATAAAGTTAGAAAGGATTGTTCAGGAATTCCAAAGAGTACCTAACTAACGGTCAAGAAAAAAAAAATCAAGATAATTCCTTTAAATTACGGGTAATACTAACTCTAATGCCCCTGCTTGAAGATACAGAGCAGAACCTTAAGGTCTCTGCTCCACCATCACCCAAATCCAGTAGCCCTAGATCCCTCTACCACACTTAAAAAGCCTTGCAATTTGGCTGCGCAGTCTACATTAGGGGGAAAAAAAAAAAACAGGGAAGTGGGCGTGGGCGGGGGCGGGGGCGGGGGCGGGGGGGGGGGAGGAAAGGGAAAAGCGCCCGGATGCTGAAAGACACCTAATATTTCTTCTTTCTTCCTCACCGCCTGCACTAGTTTTGACCACTTAATCCGGGGCCCAAATCTAAGAAGAAAATGCCTCACTCCTGCCACTGGGTCTGGGTAGTTTGACCACACTCAGTATCGGGCGAAGGCCTGCGGTCGCCGCACCTGGCGTTGGAGCCAAGAATGGTGAGGCTAGCAGGCTGTTAGGCGGAGAACGTGACCTTGTTTTCTGGGCCTGTCTTGTGGAGCTCCCTGCCCCCATTCCTAAGCGAATACAAGAAAGAATCTGGGCGTCTGAATCTTTTTTCTTCCATGCCCCAAAATATTAAGACCAAAATTAACCTAGGAAACCATCCGACACAGAAATCGATGGGAGCAAACCCCACTGCATCAGTAATTTTCGTGCGTTCTTAAAGGTAGCGAATCTGCCTCCAAACGAGTCACTCTCGCACAAACCGGCCCAATTTGGTGCACATCTCAACCTACACATGTGCTGAAAATGCTGAGTCACTCGACGCGTAGGCTCCGCTCTAAAGATGCGGACACCTTTAAAGATGGGTACCGGTCCTGGGGATGCGGACTTAAAAAGATCCGCAGTTAGAAGGTCCAGGGACCCTTGTAATAGTGAAGGGTGTTCGGGGTTAAGTGATTCTGGGACCTCCCTCCCTCGCAGACCCTCCGGTGTCTGGGGGCTGCCATCACGACTTCCTCCTCCGCGCCCCCGCCCAGCCCCTCTCCCCTCCTCCTTCCCGCGCCCGGCGTACTCACTGGGACCCTGTCCGGATATTTCTTCCGGATCTTTTCTCCTTCCTTTTTCCGATACTCAAAGGGATGGTCCTCCTTATACTGGAACTTCATAATGGACCGCAGGATTTCTAAGATCCCGGGATGGGGCCTGCCTTCCTCGCTGGCGATTGCGTCTGTCGCGTCTTGCTATCCTCTGCCAATGTCACTGTTCTCAGAATCGCTCCAGAAACGGCCCCGTCGCAGTACTATCTGGCCCAGCGTTTGTTAGAGGATTTTGGGTCTCCTTGGCCTGGAGGTGGGGGCGCTGGCCAAGTAAAGAAATTCAGGCGGCTTTCCCGAAGAGCAGAGAACACAAAAACACAGGGGCAGCGCGTCAGTGCTGTGACGTCACAGCGCACCGCCCTCTGCCCCGCCCCCTGCGTTCTGGGCACCGCGGGATAGGGGTAGACAGAGTTATTTTCTATTTCATTTTATTCTGTGTGTGTCTAAACTTTTCCTAAATAGACTCCACTGAAAACAAAACTAAGTTATATTTGGTTTTGTATTTGGTGCTGTGACATTAAAGATCATTTTAAAGGCAAAAGCACATTCTAAAAATGTCTTCTTCCCTCTCCTTCACGTTTCTTAGTTGAGGCCCAAAACAAATACACCGGACACTAACCCTGGTTGGGATTCGGAGTGGAGGGAAAAGCGACCGGGCCTCCTGGGATCCGCTTGGCCGAAGTAGAGACATCCCGTGCTTGCATTTTGACCTTTGCCGGTTCGGTTGCACTCGCCTTGGCATCCCAAAATGCTAGGCTGGCCTCCGTGATCCCGCCCTCCCCACATTGGCGTCATTTTGTTTGGATTGGTGCTGCAATTTGTTCGTAGAACAGCAACATAAACAGAGCGTGACTCAGGAATTTGAAAGGGTGTGCAAAGCAAAGGGCATGAAGGGTAATGAAGGTTCGGAGAAGGAAACGGTATCAGTGACTACTACTGTGGTGACCGTGCACGTTCAAATGTAGACATGATTCACTTTCCCCTGTTTACCTAGAAGTTAGGCTTATCTTTTGGAAATGAAAACATCGAGTCTTTTAGATGATTAACTGTGGTGCCCAAATTTTCTTTTCCTCTCCTGCAACAATTCATAAAAAAAAACAAAACAAACAAAAAAAAAAACAGTTTTACTGGTTACATGACCTCCTGCGGATTGAGAACGCAGCTGGAATGCTGATGAAAGACTCCAGGTGGTGGGGCAGGTGAGGGAGGTAAGGCATTTCTCTGGCACTCCGTTTCCCTCCTAAACCAAAGGACTAAGGCCTTTGCACCTGGTCCTATTGGCACTGATTCCTGGAATCTGTAAGAGGAGGGCAGCAGCAGAAATGGTAAAGATACAGAGTAGAAGGGTTGCTTTGCCATTTGCAATTCAGGTGGGTTTTGAAAAATATTGGACAACAGCAGCACCTCTCGTCTTTGATCAGTGTCTCAGTGTCTGTTTTAGAAAATAAAGCCACAAAATAAAAGAAACTAAGTTTCATTATTGAAACTCTGAAAAATGAATTGCAAAGTTGCCCTTCTTAATGTTAATTTATTATTCTCCGTGGCATCTCTGAGCCTTTTTTAATACATGAAAAATTATTAATTATTGTATCACATTATGTGTTTATAATTTTTAGACCTTATTTTCAAATTGTAAATAGTTACATTCTTAGTTACTGACTTTAACTTTGACCCATAGAGAGCTAAATCTTCCAAAGGAGAACTTTACAACAAGTTGAAGTCAATTATGGTGGAGATTTAAAATTTAAGAGCATTGGAAAGGTTACCTGTAACCTTTAGTTTAAAGATACTTCAGCACAAAACACTTTATAGTATGAAAAATAATTTAGAAATGAAACTTTGATTAATCTTTCTGCCACAAGACTTTTCCAATACTAATACTTTATATTAGAATACAAAATCTATTTCCAAAGTGTGCATTTTATCTTTATTCTCAGTATGGCATTTAAAATATTATACAGAAGCTAGTTTACTTATGTAAATTAATACATTCAGGCAAAATATTTTAAAATTCCTTTTTCAACCAGACAAAATGCTATTTTAAAAAACTCATTTTCAAATTTTTTTTGTAATAGTCTTTTTTATGTTTTTAATAGTGGAAAATTTTTCCAATCTTGTATGAATATTTTTAAATAGATAATTTCAAAGATTAGTTTGATGAATACCAATGTTACCCACTATTTTGATTTTTTTCATATGATAGTAAATTATAAATATTATGACACTTTGTTACCACTGTTTACCAGGTGAGGAGTCCTTGCTTCCCTGATGCTGAAGTATAACACCAGAGAAGCACAACGAGACAAGTTTAGAATGGGAAGCAAAAGCTTTATTAAAGAACAATAGAAAAGACTTCTCCATGGAAGAAGGGGACCCAAGAAGTGGAATCCATGAAAGGGCGATGTCTTCCTCCTTTTATAGCTAATGTCTTCTTTCAGCTTTCCCACATTCCTGTCCTTAGTTCTGTTATCTTGCAGTAATGGAATATAGGTGGGAAGGCCCAAAAGGTGGGGGACAGGTGGGCTGAAGGAGTAATCTGGGCAGGAAGGACTTTTGGATTAGCATCTCCAAATGCTAATCCAACATTTGCTGGGAACTGCTTCATTAACATTTCCTTGGGATGGGCTCTGGGCCTTGGGGACATTTTCAATTCCCCTTTTCCTGGACTCCATTCTCAATTTGGCCTTCATTTTTTATTTTATTTCCATATTAGACCTGATTTACCTAACTACACTAACTACCTATCTTTAAATATGGCTTCAACTTCACCCCCAAAATTCAGTATATTTCTCCTACAAATGTGAACATGCTAATCTACATAATCATAACATTACTATTACACCTAAAAAATTATCAATATCTCCCCAAATTATTTAATGTTATATAAAGTTTATAACCATTTCTCCTCAGTTGCCCCTAAATGCTTTTTATTTCCTCAGTCAAGCACTAGAATGTGAAAACAGCTAGAATTCGCCACATAGATAAGTCTGATTTCTTTTATTTGGAATTTTATACTATTCCCAGTATTTTATATTATCATGTGTAAACATGAATAAAACCAGAATTTTGGTGGATTTGATCTCTAAAGAGAAATATAATAGATAAAGATTCAGTTACTTGCAATCATGTGCTAAATTCACTTGCTATACTTGGAATTTAAACAAAGAATTTCATTATTTAAATTGAATCTTTAAATAGGCTATTGTGTACAAAACAAGTATCAAATATCAGGATGAGACTGGTTCTTGCCTGTAGGACTGTACAGGGGTGGACCTTTGTTAATAATTTGTGCCGTTTTGCTATATTCCCAACTGCCATTACATTAGTTTAGTCTTCATTGTTTTTGATTTGACATATAGTTCTGGTTATCTATTGCTATATAATAAACCCTTCAAATTAGTGTCTTAAAACAGTATCTCTTTTGCTCACATATCTGGAGTTATGGGTCTCAGTCATGCAATTCTCTTGGGTTCTTTAGTTAGATAAAAACGGGATAGGGTTTCTTTGAAGGCTTTTTCACTAGCACTTCTGGTAACTGGCCTAGGAAGATTAAACAGAAGGAGCTGCTTGATCACCTCTCTCTATATATGTTCTTACCATAGGGCCTTTCACATAGTGGCCCTACACTAGCCATTTTTCTTTCATGGCAGCTACCACCTTTGTGAATAAATTTCCCAAGAAATAGCACATGGCCCTGTGTAACCTGATCTTTTTAGCTACTACTATGGTTTGGATATTGAATATCCCCCCAAATCCCTGTGTTAAAGACTTAGATACCAGCCTGTGGCACTGGTAACTAAGGTAGTGAAACTTTTAGAGGTGAGGCTTAGTGGAAGGTCTTCAGTTACTGGAGACAAGCCCTGGAAGCAAACTGCAAGACTTTAGTCTCTTGCACTCTCTCTTTGCTTTCTAGCCACTATGATATGAGCATCCTGATGTTGTCGCTCACCATCTGGCCATGGACTAAAACCTCTAAAACCATAAGTCAAAATAAACCTTTCCTCTTTACAGTTTTTTATCTCAGATATTTTGTTATAGTAATGGGAAGATGACTAATGTAATTCCTTAGTGACACTTTTGCCTTATTTTATTCCAAGAGGTAATGACATAGTTTGGCCCATATTCAAAGGAAGGGACTATAGACTCTACCTTTAGATAGGGAAATGTTAAAGAATCCGTGTACATGCTTTAAAACCAGCATTTTAACAAGAATTTGTTTCTAATTCGTTGATTAGAAATGATGTCCTCATCACTTCTAGACAAGAAAGAGATTATTAATGCCAATAAATGAAATAAAGCCATATTTCCATCCTGTCATTTCTGCTCATTTCATTCAATGGTCATTAGTTCTCTGTACAGTTTGGAGAAAGTTCAAATGCCTCAGGAGACAAATAGAGTATTTACAATCTGGCTACTATTTATCTCTCTACGTATACATTTTTCCTACCCTTTTAACACCATTAATATAACCCTTTCATGAGTTCAGGACCAACCATATTTAAACTTTAGCAACAACAGACATTTATTTATTACAATCTGGAGACTGGGAAGTTCAAGATCAAGACACCAACAGATTCATTGTCTATTGAGGCCTATTTCTTCAGGGATAGTCATCTCACTCGAACCTCACAGGCATAAGGAAAGGATGATGGATCTCTCCCAAACTTCTATAAGACCTCTAATCCCATTTATAAAGGCTCTGCCCTCATGAGGAAATCATCTCCCAAAACCCCCATCTCCTATTATCATCATCTTGGGATGGTGGGATTTTGAAATACAAATCAGGAGAGACAAACATTCAGATGACAGAAGATGATATGAGATCAGAGACTTACAGTGATATTACATGTTTTAGGTTCATGCAGTCATCAGAGAAGGGAGATAAAAAAGATGACAGAGAAACAAGATATATCAACAGTGATAGATAAATACAGAGTTTGAGGGAATGCAATAGTATCCAGGTCCCTGGTTTCAGACGGTCTCCCCTTAGACTGCATACTCTTTGATGGTTTATCAAGAATTAGCTTTGCATTTTGGCTGGAGAAACTCTGTCCTTTCCAGATCTGGCTAATTCTTAGAGTTAGCAAAAGTTTCAGCCAGGAATTTCTTTTGATCTTCCTTTGACAGGCAAACTGACCAACCTAGTACCATTCCTCCTCTATCTGGACTGTACACCTAAGAGGCAACATTCCTCTAACTTAACCATTCCAGGGCCACATACCAGGCAAGTAGGGACCACTCCTATAGTTTAGAACACATGAAAATTATTTAAACTAGCCAGTCCTAAACTGTTTTCTTTGCCCTGCCTTGTCTTTCCCAGAGAATCTCCAGTGTAAGTTCTGGTTGAATCCTTCCTTTGCTCCTGTCTTCTACCTCCTAACCATTCTGGTGTCTTCTCCTTGTGGTTGTGTATGGTATGCCATGCCTTCTGTGTCTACTACTTCTGAGTATAGTCAACTTTGTTTTCCTGAGCTTCTCCTCTGTCTCTTCTCATAGCTACATGTGACTGACAGTCTTTTAAGGGAATACAAAACAGCACATTATATTAAAATTATATCCTTAGCTCAGTGGATGACCCACAACTCAAAGTAAAGACTCAAGCAGTGCAATTTGAATTAGTTAAGAAAGTAAAGGGTAGACTTCCGATTTAAGATAGTGTATGAGAAAGATATATTTTGTTTTCTTGTCTCCTGAAACTTCACTAAAACATCTGTGATACATTGAACTTGTCTCAAAGAAGAAGTTGAATTAGGCACTAGGGATCAAAATCAGGGCCTTATATATATTAGGCAAGCATGCTACTATTTGAGGTACTGCCACAGCCCAAGATTGTGAAGTCTTAACCCCAGTACTAGTGAAAGTAACCTTCTTTGGAAACAGGCTCTTTGCAGATGATTAAATTAAGATTAGATCATAGCAGAGAAGGTGCATGGGGGTACGGAAGATGGTGGAATGAAGCATACATCATTACCCTTGGTACGTGTATGATTGAATGAATGGTATGACCCTACTTTGGGTACAACCAGAGAAGTCAAAAACTGTGCTCCCTTTGTGTACAATGAATCGAAGAGCATTCTGCTGTAATGTATAACTGATTACAATAAATAAATAAGTAGATTAAAAAAAGACTAGGTCATTAATATGGGGGACGGTAGTTAGGTCATTAGAGTAGACCCTAATCTAATATAACAGGTGTTCTTATAAAGGGGGGGGAAGTCTGGACACAAAGTGAAAGGTGCATAAAAGAAAGAAGATGAGAAGATACAGAAATAATGTCATCTAGATGCCAGAGAACATCTGAAGGTACCAGAAACCAGAAGAGAAGCATAAAATATTCTTGCTCACAGTCCTCATAAAGACTAATACTGCTGACACTGATTCCAGACTTTTGTATTCTGGAGCAGTAAGACCACAAACTTCTGTTATTCAGACCTTGCAGTGGGTGGTACTGTTATGGCAGCTCTAGGAAATGACCATAAAGTGTAAAAGAAAAAAGGAAGTACAAAACTCACAAAATCAAAAAGGAGAAAACAAATTGATTTTGGAGTTTAAGAGGAAAAAAATGGCAAATAACTGACAACATAGATTGAAAAAATAGAATCCAAACTTAGCAGAAGGAAAGATTTAAAGTAGTCTGTTATTCACTAGAGAATTTAGAAAGACTTAGGCATTTCTACTACCAGGTTACCTACCTAGCCTCTTTCAGTCATTTGACTATCTCTCTCCTATCATGTGTAGATTGGAAATCTATTCTTTGTATAGGATTGGAAGACTAGGCCCAGCAGAATATGGTATACTGAAAACTCTTGAATTCCTAGCCTTCTTACCCTTGTTCTGTTTTCACAATTCTTACAGCCCAGTTGGCAACCCTCTCAGTAGAAGACCGTGCATAACAAGGTTTTGCACCCATGTAGAATTTCATGAGCTTTTTAGAGTTCCATTTTTAAATATGAGAAGAAGATAAAGAGTCAAAGATAGCTGTGGATTTGAAGATATATGAAACAAGTGAAAAACAATTTGAAGGAAAATAAAAAAGAATACTCACAGAGAGAAATACATCAAAAATTATGATATCCTCAGAAAAATAAAAGAAAATGTCGCTTCCATGAAATAAACACCAAACATTCAGAAAAAAAAAATTATAAAATAAAAAAGTATGAGAAGGAAAAATTCAGAAGTATTAGAATGAAGTGGAGGAAATTTCTCAGGAAAAAAAGGAATAGAACAGAGATGGAAAAAGGAGGCAGGAGAGGTAAATTGGAGGACCAACAAATACAAGGAGTCTTAGAGAAAGAACAGAGAAAATGAGGGAGAGAGGTCAGATTTTATTTAAAGCTAGCTGTGCTTTCACAATTATAAAGGAAATTAATTTCTTTTTAGAATTTTATCCATAAGCCAAACTATTGTTTAAAGTATCGGTGATAGGTCTAGACCTTTTTGGACATGGAAACTTTCCAAAAATTGCTTCTCATGTATTTGTTTTCAATAAGCCATATCACAATGAGGAAGCAAACCAAGAAAGGAAAATACATGGGATACAGGAAATAGGATTAAGATAAGACAGATGAAGATAATCTATAAGATAATAAAAGTAATTAATACTTATTGATATGTTCATATATAAACTCCCACAATCCTCATGTGATAATATAATGTAGGTTTAGTAATTATTTTATCATTTTACAGATGAGGAAATTGAAGCACAAGATGATTGAGTGACTATGCCAACACTGGACAGGGATAAAAGGACAAAGCCAGAATTTTAATCTATAAAGCAGATTGGTTTCGTGCTTTTTGTTGTTGTTGTTTGTTTGTTTGTTTGTTTTAGTTGTAGATGGACACAGAATACCTTTATTTTATTTATTTATTTTTATGTGGTGCTGAGGATTGAAACTCACACATAGTAGGCAAGTGCTTTACCATTGAGCCACAATCCCAGCCCTGGTTTCAGGTTTTTTTTTTTAAATTTAATAATTTTAATATTTATTTAGTTTTCGTCAGACACAACATCTTTGTTTGTATGTGGTGCTGAGGATCGAACCCGGGCCGCACACATTCCAGGTGAGCACGATACCACTTGAGCCACATCCCCAGCCCTGGTTTCAGGTTTTAAAATATTCATGATCTCTTATCTTCTCCCCATTATACTCATCTACTCAAGTTATGATACAACCATATTTGGAAGAAGAAAAATCAGGAGAAATAATCCACATAGGTAACAGTAACAAAGATAAGGAAGAGCATAGTAGAAAAGGGTGTCATTTTCTTTGTGATAAAAAGTAAATAGATTTTACATTCAAAACTAAAAATAAAAACCAAGAGTATATATGTATGTCAAGTGCAGTATATGCATAGTATTTGCAGAAGTATGAGTTTAGTTCAAAGGTAGCCTCAGTAACTTAGTGAGGCCCTAAGGAACTTAGTGTGACTCTGTCTCAAAATAAAAAGCAAAAAGGGCTAGAGATGTGGCTCAGTGGTTGAGTGTCCCTGGGTTCAATTCCTGGTATAAAAAAAGAAAAAAAGCTGAATGAGGGAACAAGTGAATAGTCTGGAGGATTAAGTGAGATCAGGTAATAGATATACACAGTAGACATTCTGATGATTACTACTGACCAATTATTTGACTCCTGATGAAAAGTGTTCCCTTCAAATTGGGTTTGCATTTATCTACTTTGGTATTTATAAAGAGAGAGACAGGATAGTACTCAACTTCACCACTTATAATAGTATTAGTATTAATTAGTATTGGTATTAATATTGTAGTGGAGAGCAGGTCTTTAGTCCAGTGCAAGAACAGAGTGCAAGAGAGATCCTGAAAGGTATGTTTGATATATAAATTGGAACTTATTGAAAGTCCAGGTACTTGGATATAATTTATCAAATAGGGACAGGGAGAACCAAATGGCAACACAAACAATTTGAATCCTGGAAACTGAGAGATAGAAGATTTAGAAAAGAGGCATTAATTTAGTTTGTTTTATAATTTTGACTATAACTAAGCCTTATCATAGAAACTAAAGCAGTATTGTCTTTTTGGAGGAGGATTAGATAGCCTTCAAGGTCACTATATCATCTTCATATCATTTTCATCTTCTTGTGACAAGCAATGCATCTTAAAAGTTACATATCCCTTTTCCCTATTCAAAAACTTACACAGGCTTTCACTGAATGCAGGACAAAGTCTAAACTGCTTACGCTCACATTTAATGCCTTCCATAAAAAGAAGCCAACTTGTCTTTCCAGATTCATTTCCATTATATCACACTTGGAATTTTTACCATTCTTCATAATTCACATTCTCATTGTTTTTCATTTTT